TGTTGAGAGGGTCATATAGCTCTGGTATTAAGTCCAATGTGAATGAAACACAGAATATACCTGGTAGCGTTTCAGGCAAATATAATGTTATTACTTGAAATGAGTATACAAAGGTCATGAAAGGCAGTAAGAGAGCCTAATTATATTATTGTATAACTGCTGTTTTAACCCTTATTGGCACCATATTTTTTACAGCCAATATATTGCCTTCTCTGTATTTTTTTGGACAATTTCTTAAAAAAATTGTCTTAGCTACAGGTGATCAAAACTTTTAATATTTAAATTTGGTTTTGACACTCAAAGGGCTAAACAAATTGCAATTAGTGTTATTTTGAGGAGACATCAACATATAATTCATACAAGTAATACATACATAGTGCCCATTTCTTGCTGCCCAATGTAGTGCAGTATTTCCTGTTCTCTTTTCTTTAGCATTAATAAATGTGGGTCTTTTGGATTTAAAAAAGACAACCAATTTCTGCACTGTGTCAAGTTCTCCCATTTTAGCAGCTTTAAAATACAGGAGTTCCCACTGTAATGTATTCCCAGGAAATACTTGGTATAAGAATCTGTAATTAAACAATTATATAGCAGAGGTCAACTTGCAATTCAACTCCGTAAACACCAAAGTTAGCTTTTGTAGCATTTCACAAAATAAATCTAAATGTAGTCAATAGGAAATTACGTCAATCTGGTTCAAAATAACAAATACAAGAAAATTATCAAAAAATACATAAAAATAAAACAAACTTTGCACCTAATTTTCGCAGGAAAGATTCAGACATTCACCCAAATCAAATCCATAACCTTGAATCATGCCCATTTGCAAACATCCCTAATACATAGTAATTTTTTATCACAAAAAATTGGGAAGCTTTGAAAGCTTTCTCACTTTCAATAAAGGATAATCATTATTTTAAAGTCGCGGAACATGAATGTCACATGACATACAACTATTCAAGTACATTGTAAGTGAATCAAGTACGGTAATAAATCAAGTATAGATGAGACTTACATGCTTCCAGCCTTTAGTGTTTTATTCCTAGACTGACTTTCAAAGTACATCTGTTGAGAGAGAATAGACATCAGAATGTCACACAATGTTCCTAGAATGATTGATAGAGAGATAGTGGTTTTTCTGATCTGTTTATTTTGATACCTGCCATAAATTGTTATCATAAAATAAATATTGTAAAGATTTTATAGTACTCACAATCCAAGTATCTTACCTCATACTGTGGGTAATCTGAGGGATTTACTTCAATCACATCATGTTTTGGCAAACCTAGTATTTTTCTTATAGAGACTAAAAATAAAAAAAAAATGGTATTGGTGACTACTTCATCTTCTATGTAATCTTAAATAGCATGTGTTTCCACTGAAGATAAAATAGTTTTAGCAACAATGGACAGTACTGTGTTGTTTTTCTTCAGCTTTTAAATTGTATAGCCACTTGGTAAACAGGCACTGAAGTATTGATTCAGTGGAAGCCCACACAGCACAATGATGTAGGGTTTATGGAAGCCTTCTCTTGTCGATGTTGACAAGGCACAAAATACTAAAGATGAAGCAAGAATTCCACTGAGAATGAAATAATTCCTCTACCTTTCTTTTGTCCTTTAGCCTGTGTGAAATCGTCAATGAAGTCACCAGTGTTAACATCTTTGAGTACAATCTTCCTATCTGGTGTAAATGTTTCTTTGGATTTTGCGTGATAAAACCCTGATCCACTTGTCAGATTAAGATTAATGACCATAGACAAGCACAAATCAGTGATGGTGATGTTCCTACAAAAAGAAGGCAAAATACAGTAATGCACTACTGCCAGCTATCATAAACACACCTCAAAATGTATGGCCAACATAGACTAATACACAACTACATGTATACTGGAAACACTATAAACATTAAGTTACCTGGGTACAGTAATTGTGTCAAATCTCTGTCGCATTCTCTCGGCTACAATTCCCCGTGTCTACAAAGAGATACAAATCATTGGTAAATCAGCAAGTAGTACATCTTGTTTACAGTCTGTCATATCTATTCACATGTACATACAGTGATTGCAATATACTATCGATATGTGTACACAAAGATTAACTATAATTATATTTACAAGAGTACAGTGTACTATACATGTATAACTCTTGTATGAATTAAAAAACATATTCAAATAAACCTAGGAATTTTCCAGAGATGTAATTTTGTTGAACTTCATTTCTGAGTTAGCGAGGTTGATACACTGAGAATAATCCATGTGTTTATAGCTGTGTATAGCATTGTGTTGTCTCACCTCTGCTTGTATTTCATCAATATGTTTCCACCATCTCTCACACTCTCCTACATCATACAACTTATGAAGTTTCTTTGTTTCTATGGAAACACAAAAACATGACAAATTTGATCGAACATTAGCATACACGTAGATTTTTTCATTGACCAAATTGCGGATTTTAAAATTTTGCAATTAATGCTGTTAACACAGAATTAATGAAATCTAAACCTAGAAAATATTCAATAATGAAAAATTATTTCTAATTAACACATCTAGTGCACAGAAACATTGATCAAAACTGAAACTACAATCATGGCATTGTCTGGATTCTTAGTCTTCAATACATACTTGATCTATAATAAATGAACCTGTATGGTAACTACGTATGTACACTCACCTTCTTCGTAAGCATCCAGATTACTTTTCAATTCCTTTTTTCTTTTCAGTTGCTGCATAGTATTAATTATGGCTGGGAAATTCTCCAACTCATAATTGGCTTCACGGTTTAGTTGAACCAATTCGGCCTGTGAAGTGGAATAACCTCTAATTATCATACAATGTCTATTAGACATAATGGTATTCTACAGCTGTATTGGATGGATGTTTTTATTCAATCCTTGTAAAGATAATTTAATTTCTGGTATGTGTAACATGTACTTAAAGTAAATTGCTACTTGTATATTATTTGACATGTAGTAGTGACAATATTTCATATCAAAATCTGTCTTAATTAGTCAACAGTATGTAGTCTTTTTTAATACACTGTCAATCTGTTTTTTGAGAAAAATAATATGTCAAATAATATGCATAAAATGGCAAATTAGTACTTAGTAAATAGTACTGACAAATAATTGTAAGCTTATGTAGCTGCCAACATAGAAAGTAAAGAAAGGAAATTAAAACTGAATACATGGCTGGGTAAACACTATTTTTTTTTTAACAATACCATCTCATTATTTTCTAGACAAATATGATGTTGGTGACCCATGAAAAAATAATTACATTGCTTTGGTTATGTTGCATGAACACTTTATATTGCACGCTAGATCATTGAAATAAGACTTATTTTGACCATGACATGTCTCATATAGGCGCATGTACTACTAATGTCTTGTTGTGATTTATAAATGCTATATGGACATAAAGAGAAGGTACATTGTACTTACGAGTCTGTTAATAACAGATCTTGCTTGTCTCAACTTGAATCCACACATGAAATAAACACAGAGGTAAGCTGACATTGCCATTGGATCAGCCTAGAAATAAGACGATACTATGATATCAAAGACATACGCATAAATAGCATAATGAATAATTGATTTAACCACACTCAGCAAATTGTATGAAATGAGATGCAAGACTTCCAGTAATAAAGCAATTACAATTTCGCTACAAGTGATAAATCTCTGAAAGTCAGTGTACGGAATACAGCTCCTAAATTTCACAACTCCAACTCATAAAATAACACTATGCAGTATACAATCATTTCAACATAGAAGTTAGTGCATTAGCTAAATAAATAAAATATGACGGCATAGCATTACTCTTCCATAATAATATTCTGCTCACCTGCACAAGATCTTCAGAGTCAACAAGAGTTTCTAATCGAATCATTTTTTCAAATACTTTTAATGCTAAATTGATAGTCCATCTATCATTCAACATGATTTCTGTTGTAAATGTACCGGGTGCAAAGGAATTGACTAATGCACACAACACACGACTGTCAACAAGGTCTTCTAAAGTCTCCACGACCAGTCGCCGTCCTTCTCTCACGGTCTGTAAAATGATAACATAGATAGATAATTATGTCAGACACTCACTAACCCATTCCTAGGGTAGTGTACTTGACAGGGGAAGCTAATATGATGTACAGTACCCAGTAGTACTTGTCCTGCATAAACAACAAAAATGAATGTAACTTATGTATCACATACAATAAAATCATAAACTAAACAAGCAGCCTATCGGCTGAGATAGCTCCGCTGTTAGCAATGCACATTTCAATTAAAGAACTGAAGACATCATTAGAAAATGAACAATATGAATAGTATCAAAGCAATCGGACTTACAGTTTTTAACAAGAAGTCGAAAATATCACTTTTTACCAAAAATGACAAAAATATTCACCAAAATTAGAGAATTAAAGATATCATCACAAAATGAACAAATCTGAGAGAGGTCCAC